CTGATAACAGATTTTCATAGAATTGTTGCTATACTCTTTGTATGATTTTGTATGATTTTTGAATTAGTTTTCTATTTTTTCTGGGAACCATAAATCAGTAGAAAAGGTCAAACCAAATAATTGGGAAGGATTGTCCAGTTTGAAGGTAAAGATAAGAACCTGAAAGGATCATAAACCTTATGAGCACTGTACAAATGTGTGTAGACCCTTTTCTGTCTGTTTAAGCAGTAATTCCTGCATAAACAGTAATGATACCAGACACAAAATATTTTATATTCAAATTAAATGTGAAAAAATTGTCATTAAAAACTTTAGTATGTAAATAGAAGAGACTGCCCAAATGATTAAGAAAAGCAAAACAAGTTATTTCTGCAGAATGAATTTGAGGTTGAAAGAAAAAAAGTTTGAATAGTTTCTAAGAATAGAATAGAAACTATTGAAAAAATGAGGAAATAAACTGTACTGAAGCCTTGCCCAACCTGAGCAGCCTCTAGATCTACGGACTGCCACTCCCAGTTCTCACAAGAATATTAGCTGGGAATTCTGGGTGTTGAAGTATAATCCACAGGTGGGTGCTTAGATGGTGAAAGATTACTGTAGAATATTAAAGGTAGAGTTGTTGTTTTTTATAGCAAATGGAGTATATTAGAGAGTCTGGTTGTAAAGAAAGATAATAAAAAGAGCCCAGTGTTGGCAAACTACAGAAATAAATAGGGGAATTAATGTGGAATAATTATTTAAAACCCATGTCATAAGGTTATCTTCTTTCCTCTATTCTTTAATTTAGAAGAACCCTGGCATATTTAATTAGGAATTTAAGAATCAACAGCAGAACATATTATTGAAAAGGCAAGCAAGTTAAATCACCATGCCTCATTCACTTCATGTGCTTTCATGCGAAGAAAAGTCATTTCAAATTTTTTGGAGCATGGCAGGAACTTGATATTACTTTCAAGAAAGATGTGTGAAGCTAAACAAATTTCTGATGTGGTACATTTTGTTTGAAATATCAGATTACCTCATGATAATATTTGTCATTTGGAAATAAAATTTGGAACAGCATTAATTTACCTGTACAGGTAAATGCCAAAGGTTAACACTGTTATTTCTATATGTGTATTAATGAAACAAACGAAGAAGGTTTTCAAGGATGTATGCCACTTACTACATGTAATCAATAGACAATGCAGCATAAAGAGACCATTGCTAAAGGAAGTTATAGTCCGGAACAGCCCAGCAGAAACTTTTTTGGGGGGGTGTGTGTGTCTTTTTGGCTATAAATCTCTGGTAAAAATGTGTGTTGATTATTAGTTATTTATATATTTATGGCATTTCCAAAGGGTTTAGCACTCTTTTCTGTAGGAAAGAGCTAGAATATTTGGGTTTTTTAGCTTGGAAAAATAGTGACTGGACACAAGGGTAGAATACTGCCAAATAATAGTTGCAGGGGATTAGGGTTGGGAAAATAGTATTTCTCTGTCTCTTTCTTACAAGCATCCCCAAGGCACATTTTTGACCAGTGTGAGAAACAAGTAGGCTGGACTAAGGCAGTCCTTGACCTAATCTAGCAGGGTTATCCTTAATTCCTAATGACTAAATTTTCTCAATGATAATCTGTCCCTAAACTGTTCCTTCAGGTCTCTAATCATGGAAACCCAGTTAATTGAGTTTACATAACGTGAAGTATGCTAACCACAGAAACTGGCTTCCACAATGTAGTAGATTAAAATATGGTGACTGTTTTGTGCCTTAGCATGTTGTATGAAAGTAGTCTCCAATTTCCATTCCTCAGGACATTGGCTTGTAACAGTCATATCTTCTGCTTATTAAAATAATTGTATGTCCAAATTGGTGGCTGCAAAAATTTTAGATAGTTTTCTTTAAATAATTATGCCAAAGGGCTGAATTGCACATATAATATTCATCTAATGGCTTTGGATATGAATAATAACTTTGAAAGGGAATTATTAAAAGCGAATTTGAAATTATGGATAGAAAAATATTAAGTTCCATTTATTTCTGTGTTCCTAATTTCCCCTCTTCTGAACTGACTTTTCATGCTAAAGAAAGAGGTATTATTACACTTATGAATAAATGTAACATGAGTCATAGTGGCGCAGTGGTTAGAATGCAGAACTGCAGGATAACTCTGTCCAAGGCCAGGAGTTCAGTCTTGACTGGCTGAAAGTTGATTCAGCCATCTTTCCGTGGTCAGTAAAATGAACACCGTATTGAACAGCACATTGTTGGGAAAAACATGCTGATCTTTGTAAACCACTCAGAGAGTAAAACCCTATGGAATGGTATATAAGTCTGAGTGCTAATGCTATTGCTAATTTTTTTAACTTGATACACTGCTTCTTGAGATATTCTTAATACCTGTGCAGAACATTATGCATGGGTGCTGTCCAGAAATGTTGGCCTGCAGCTGACATAATTCCATATCCAGTTTAATTAACTATGTTAATTAACACATGAACCTAATGGTCCTAAAATGTTACAGGATATCATGTTAGTGAAATTTATTTTAAGAACATTTATGTATGGAATATTAAGAATGGATACCACAATTTAGTGGCAGGAAGTAGAATTTTTGCTCTTTCTTTGTTGCCATTTAATGGTTGTCTTGCCTAATATTAAGCATATTTGGAATTTTTGAGTTGAGAAATTTGAATATTTACTTTCAAATTTCACTGGTTTAAAGACATAATTTGTATAATTCACATAATCTATGACGCTATACAATGAATGTATATTGACAAAATTATCACCATTATCACCATCATCATCTGCCTATCCCAGGTCCTTGAGAAGGACTTAATAGGTGGATAAAAATGTTAAATCCCATCTGAATATCTGGCTGACTGTAAAATGAACTGCAATAATTAAAGCTGTGTGCTGCTTTCTGTTAAATGACTTGATGACTCACAACAATCCAGACAAAAAAATCACAATAAATTTAACAAAACATAAAAGCTAACAATAAAAGATGTCACCCACGATGAAGCAAAGGGTTATATTCTGTCTTGCCAAATGCCTAGTTGATAGAATAATGATAGAATGTTAAGGTTAATAGCTGAAAGAGACCTTGTGTTAAGTTCAAAGTTGGAGTTGTAGGCCTGCAGAGAAACTCATATCTAAATAATTATTTTACTGGTGTAAATAATTAGGAGTCCATAGATAATTAGGAGATTCCATGAAACCTGAAGTTTTGTCAGCTCTAATCCTGTTCCAGGTTGCTAATTGCAGCCACCTTAGAAACATCTCTTTGTTATCATTTCTAATCCAGCCTCTTTCAGTGGTCCATAGATCTAGTTTCTGCTTTCTAATTCCATTAGCATATCTAGCATATCATTCATGACAGCCAATTTGGGTATTAACTTAATCAGAGGAAGAGTAAATGGGCAGGAAAAGCTGTCAGCGTGATCTTGGAATGATAAGGTGCAAATGAAAAGGAAATCATTTTATCAAAGGGAAGTTTGCATCTAGCTAGAATCAAGTTCTTGAAAGGAAGTCTCACTTGGGTAATCTATGTAATAATAAGATTGTTGAGCAAAAGGCACTCCTGCTTGATAAGCCTATACAGGAGATTTTGTAGAAAATTTACTGAGCTACTGCTCTGAAAAAAGAGTAGAACTTGCTTCAGTGTATATATTAAACTTAGGTGAAAAGAAATTGATAACTGTTTTTTTTATTCCAGAACTCCCTTGTTCCTCTTTCATTTTCCAATTTCCAAACAATTTTTTATTTCTTACATATTGATGAGGAAGACCCATTGCAATAATATATGTACCTTGATTTCTAAAAGCAATGTTGATAATTTGTAATTTGTAATTTTTTACTATTATTATTTGCACAAAAAATGAAATGTTTTGAAATAGTACAATTTGTATAAAGTCTGTCAATTGCTTTCCAAGGATGAGCTAAAAGCATGGAGGATTTTTTTAAACAGGAAGCCAATCAACATGACATAGATTTTTTTGATGGAATTATTCTTCCTTGAAAACAGGAAATTTGTAGTCTAAGCATACAGTGGGTATTTAGGAGTTTAACTTCAGTTCATCTTGTCATAGTCACAAAGGTTTTAGTAATCCATTTTGATTGGATTGTGTAATGAAATTTACACAGGACCTTTTTTGAAGGTCTTTTTAAAGGTACAGTTGCTTGGAGTATAAAAATGGATGTCATGTTCCAAGTTCAGTCTTTAAGGATGGCTGGAAAGTCCTGTGGAGTTTTAGTTGGTCATTTATAATAAGTTAGCCTTCCACAGTAGCAACCTTGCTAGCTACAGTGATTGCAATTCAGCAAAGTGGATAGTCCTTGAGCCCAACCTTTTTTGCCACAACTGTTGAGTGAATCACTGGCATGATTAAATTAATAACATGGTTGTTAAATGAGTCTGGCTTCCCCATTGACTTGGCTTGTCAGAAGGTCACAAATATGATCACATGACCTGGGGACACTGCAACCCTCATAAACACGAGTCAGTTGCCAAGCAACTGAATTTTGATCATGTAACAATGGGGATGCTGCAATGGTCATAAATGTGAAAAACAATCATAAGTCACTTTTTTCATTTCCGTTGTAACTTCGAACAGTCACTAAAGGAACTGTTGTAAATTGAGGACTACCTGCACTTAGTTATAGTAGGCTGCTGGGCTGTTCCTAAACTATGTAGGTTCAGTTGTTCAGGATAAGGTCTGCTTCTGTTGTTTTTCTTTGGTAATGATTCTCATTGCTTAGCTACTGTATTTTGGGTGTTGCTTATGCTACATAATACCAATATGTTTTTAATTTTTTTTTAGCATGTCATTTTTGAACCAGAAAGGTAGACTTTATTTCTTTTAACAAATGAATAAAATATAGCTACATAGGTCACTTTGAGTCCTCACATTCTGGAAATATGGTGATGAATTATATATTTCCATGGTTAGTGTTATACCAATTCATTCATCTTCTTTAAATCGATGTTTTTTTCTGTCTTAAAGATTTCTCCACAGATTTCAGAATATTCATCAGATGATGACAATTTTGAAGGAAGCAATGTAGAAACAGAAGCTACTAATTTAGAGTTTCCTAAAAAGTTCCAGTTGTGTTTTGGAGTAGGGTTTGAAACAGACCCAGGAAGAACAGCCACTGACTGGCTAAAATCTGCTCAGACTCTTCTACAAACTCCTAAGAAAAGAATAGAAAAAAGTTTGAAGACTCCAGAAGATTCTGCAAAAAAAAGAAAATTGCTGAGGTACGCATCACTTGTAACAGCAAAATCAATTTTAGAGTTATATTTTGAAACTTTAAAAAGATGGCATTGGCCATTTTAATTTTTATCGTGTTTTGTTGCTGGTTAACTTTTTTCATATTTTTCAGAAACTGATAAAAACTCCTGCTCAGTTGTTTGTAACCTTCAATTAGCTGATCAGCTGAAATGGTGATTGTGATTTCCAATGCTCGCTGCCAATCTCCCCAAGCAAAGTCAGTGGGGAAGCTGTTAGGAAGTTGGAAATTGCTCACATTCACATTGGGTTTTTTTTTTTTTCAGGCCTGTCATTCTTTTTCTCTGTTTTGTTAAGAAAATATCTCTGAAAGGATGACCCAACGGCTCATGGCATATCTAGACCTATATAAAATTTGTTATGCATCTGAAATGTTTATGCATTTACAGGAATTTCCAGTGTTTTCATACCAGGCAATTTAAGGCATACAATTTCTGCTATGGAATCGGAGTTGTTGTATGAGAGGATTAAATGACCCAACTATGAAAGTAAAAGTAATCCATAAAAGGATTCATGGGAACCCTTCATTCTTATCTTTTCAGTTTTTAATATATAAGTCTTTTAATCATAAGTCTTACTTTCCATTCCAAGCTATAAAAGGTGTGTAATTTTTCCCTAAGTAAATCTTTCTGTATATGTTTACCTTTTGTGTCTGTTAACCCTCAGTTGACATATGGGTTCAAATGCACCCAGGCAATTAACAAAAATCAAATGTTTTGCTTATTCTATGCTATATTCCAACCATGAGATGTGTAGTATTTTTGTCCCCCAAACAATAATACAGGTAGTCTTTGACTTATGACTATAATTGGTACTGGAATTTCGGTCATTCAGCAAAGCTGTCTTACCTTTCCATATCAGTTTCCATCTTCAGTGTCTTTACACATGTTGTAGTACTGCTTGCCTCTTCTAACAGATCTCTGAAACTCTTTCGTTAAGTTCCTTTATGAGATGTTTGTCTTTTTTAGCTTTAGCTTCTCTTCTCTTTTTGGCAATTTCCATACTTCTCATATCCAGTTTGCTTTCTTCTCTGTCATTATTTTTGGCATTTTCATTCCACACTCATTCTTTATGAATTCTTTAGGTTCATCCCATAACTTCTTGGGTTCTCTATCAATAAAGCTTGAGATTTCAAAGTGGATCTTGATGTTGTCTTTGAAATTGGTGCATATATATTCACCATCATTTGTGAAAATCAACTGACTTTCTTCTTTGTCTTTAGCTTAACTTGGAGCTTGCATGGGAGGTGTTTGTGACCTGTTCCTGTGTCTATACCGAGGCATTTCTTTGAAGCTATAATTGAGTTCCTCCACCTCTTTTTAGCAACATTGTAGTCAATTTGATTTATATATACACAATCTGGTGATGTCTAAGTATGTAGGCCTCGTTCTTTTGTTTGAAGACAATTTGAGCTATGGAGAAACGATTGCAGTGGCAGAAATTGATAAGTTTTGTCTCCTGCTCATTTCAGTTGCTTAAGCCATACAATCCAACTACATTTTCTTCTCTAATGTTTTCAATTTCGGCATTCCAGTCTCCAATCAAGGGCAGCACATCTTACTTGTATGTTGATTTCAAACTAAACTTAATCATAGAAATCAACAATCTCATCTTCTTTTGCACTGATAGTTGGAGCATAAACTTGAAAGATTGTCTTAATAAAAATATGTATTACAGCCCAAAAATACTTTAGAACTTATAATACAAGGTATGCACTATCAATGTAAATATATGACTATCAAACAAAAACCTTTAATGTGGCTTCAATACAGATTTTTCTTCACAGATGTAATTCAGAATAGGGTAGCAGCTGAAAATTGATGTTTAAGAAGTGAATTATTAAATTATTCTATCATGCAACTGACTGAGAGGCAACTTTACCAAGAACAATTCTTGTTCTTAGCTTTGAGAGTTTTGAATATCTTTTGCAAATAACTGAGTTTCAGAATTGCTTTTAATAAAATTGTTTTGTAGGTCGTTCCCTCTACAAATACTGAACTTTTTCAGCTATGGTCAGTTTTCAGACTACAGAAAGTGCACACTTGACCTAGCTTATGAAATGAATCATGAGATCAAGTATGCCCCAGGAGTATTTTGGGACACATTCCTTACCAGTGGTCACTTGTCTTCCAGTAATATGCTGTAGGGCAATGGTCAAAAGTACACTTGTCTTGACTGAAATTACACTCTTCAGGTGGAAAGTTATTCTGACCCAAAGTGTATTCTTGTGATTTTAAAATTGTTCTGGTTTTTATTCCAGAAAACTGCCTATACTAAATGTATAATTTATTACACACACTCTGTATAAATCTATTCACATACTAGTCTTACAATATTCTTCTGATGCTAGGGTAAGAACTCTAGAAATTTTGTGTTGTATTTATTTAACAAAACCTTGGATAAAATCAGTGAATTTTGAGATTTTGAAAAGCTTTCTACTATCTCTAGGGGAGGACTTGCAGAAAGATTGAATACACTTCAAAATAGAAAGAGATCTGCAGTAAACTTTTGGAGGCATCAATGTACCTCTCACCATGAAACACTTTCAAGTAAGAACTATTAATAAAAAATATTTTTCCTATGATTTGGAAGAAAGTATAATTTTTAAAAGAAGTTTTATGTGTTGGGCTCTGAGTTCACTCAGAGCCCGTCAACTCAGAATATCCCTCGCAGCAAGTCAGCTGGCCATGTCACCTTATCTTTGCTGCTGCTGGATCTGTATTTCTGCTTGTGTGCTGGCCCATGGCTTTGGAATGACTCAGCAGAGCTGAGGATGGATTCTGCAACAATTGCGGGGATGGAGGATGGATTCTGAAGCAACTGTGGGGCTACAGGATGGATTCTAAAACAACTCTTGATGTGGTGCATATTGTTAAAGGGGGGCTTGGGGCACATATAGCCTTATTAAGCCTTAGGTTAAAACATGGTAAAGGTGGTACCAGGTGGGGATCAGTTAGTGAAGGTCGGAATAGGGTAGGGATGTAGACATGTTATAGGGTTAATAGCATTTAGGGATAATGGGTTATATTGATATGGCTTCGTAAGTTTATGTTTTCAAGGTTTGACAGTCATAATATGCTTACCACCCAGAACACCTCTGTGAGGGAGATGGGCATTTAAGAAGTTTGATATATAAATATTTTGTGTTGCTTCTTGAAGGAAGAAACATGAAGATCTTACATTTATTTGCACACAGTGGTGTTTTTTCAACATATATGTTTGGGGCTTTTAACTGTTAATAGTAAACATTGCTGATTATTCAAAGTCTCTTAAAATATGGTGAAATGGCAACTATGAACTTGAGTACATCCAATATGCTGCTATGGTGCTGTAGAGTCATGGTCATCTGCTATAATGCCTTGCCCAAAATGTGTTGTCCCTTGCTGTAATGCATTCAAGTCTAATCTGGGTCAGTTACAATCTACATTTTCTAGAGTTGCCTTGATATTCAGGGTTGAACTTTCCATCTTTGTGTTCCCATGTAACTTATGGAAAACAAACTGGATCTATTATGCAAATGTGCCCAAACCATCTCAGCCACCATTTTTTGTTTCATCAGTTATTGTTGGCTAGTTGCAATATTGTTGACATGTGGTTTCTTTTTTCATTATAGTCTATCATTATACTGCCAAAGACTCCTACATAGAAGGTTTTCAATATCTGGTTACAGAAGCATTCACGATTTAGCCCAATATAGCAGGACTGATGATACCACTGATTGAAACATTTACATTTTGATGTATTAATACTTTTTAAAAATTCCGATCACTGACCAGAATTGCAAACAAACACATTAAAAATAAAAGTAAAAATCAAACAAGATAAAACATTACAATTGATGTTAATTTTATCAGTGGATAATCCAAGTGTGCCTGATTTTAAAGGCAGTATAACAAAATTTTGCTATATTCAAGGAGACTAAATCATAAGAATAACTGTACATTAAAAAAAGGATCATAATTACTCAGGTGTTTTACCAGATAAGGGATTATAAGGTAGGTTCTTGAGTCCTTGTGAAGTGTTGCAGTATAGCAGGACATGGACTGAAGTTTCAACAGTCCCTTGTTCACAGGGGCACAATCTCGGCTTGATGTGTTGAGAGCATTGAAAGATGCTAAAATTAGTAGTCTTCAGAATTTGGAATGAGTTATTTGATGCAAATAGCTTGCTGGTTTGTAAAAAGAGATTTGACTGCTCAGAAAAATGTTCCTAGGTAGAGCATGCTGATCCTGTTGGGCTTTCTGGTCTTTAATATGTTGTTTAAATGCTCTGAGTGCAAACTCTTGAGTTTATTACTCATCATTATGAATGCATTGGAAAAGCTGAAATGCTGAAGTTTCTGTAAAATTGTTCTGAACAATATTGGTTTGTAATTGTCTTGAATAAGGAAAGAACTTTAGTCCTGTTGTAAAGAACAATAACTTCAAACAATATGCTATGAATCAGATCCATGCACCAATTTCTACTTTGGATAGCCTTCCCTCCTTCCTTCCTCAATACTACATGTAGGAAGCAAGTGGCTACCTGAAATATATCCCTTAGGAATATAGAAATGGACACTTTCAAGAGCAATATGAAGTGTAAGGTCATAGCTGGGTGCCAAAAAGTAATTGTGCATAAGTCTTAGCTGAATATAGCTTCAGTGCTTCTGGGGATTTGTGTTCCTCTGGCGAAGTGAAAAGACTGAATAATGGCTGCTATTTTGAAATAATAGAAAATATTTATAGCTTGGGTTTTAGATTTTGGCGGTGGTTTGCTTTCCAAGCTTGTTTCAATTTAGTTTCCGAACGTTTCATTACCAGACTAGGTAACATCATCAGCAGGATTGTCTTGTTCTATTCTTCTTAGCTTATAAGTGTCTTATATTCCAGTGTGCTCAGTTGGTCATTTGGTTGGTTGTTCATTTGGAGCTATATTTAAATTCTGAGCAGCTGATTGGTTCTTTTGTTGATTGGTTGTTTGAATGGTCTGTTTTTTATTTATTCATATGCTGGATCTGGGTCAATATGTTTGTTAATTGCGCCTTTGGTAGAATACCAGGCCTTAACAAATTCACGTGCGTAGTGTAAAAATGGCTGCTATTTTTTTAACCATTTTCTGGTACAATTTTAGTGTGTACTGCAATGTGGAGCTCTCGAAAACCATGCCCACATATGTAAAAGATTTCAGTTCATCAATATGCTGGCCATTTATCCTCCAAGTATGCAGTTTAGGTACATTTTGGGATATATAATATAAACCTTTTGCCATAAGCAGTAGATGAATAAATTAAAAACTTCAGTGACAGCACTAATCACCCTCCCCCCATAGCACTTATTGCAATAGTGAAATATCATAGATATCAAAAACCATCCTGATCTTCATGAACCAGTTTTTCTTTTTGTTTTATATTTAGAGATGGATGGTACACACAGTATTTTACTGACTATGGACAGGATTTTTTTTTTTCATTTATAGCTATCTTCTTTGCTAAAGATGGAGATTAGGATTGCTTGCTTTGAGAATGTGATATTGTCTTGCTTCCATGTGCTTGGTATTTGTTCTGAAGTACAGAATAACTGAATTAGGAAGTGCAGTTGTCATAATAAAGAGTCATCTTGTGACTTTAGTGCTTCTGCTAAGACGTCATCACATCCAACAGCTTTGTTTTACTTAAATAGTTACATATCTGCTTTGATGTTCACAGTGTTTGGCAGCTCCTCTGGTTCATCAAGAGGATGTAAGTTGTGGAGTGGTTCTACAAATGGTATATCAGATTCTTTGTGATGATACAGCTAGTGGAAATGTTCTTTCCATCAGTTCAAACTTCAGTAATGGAATGTAGAAAGGCATTATGGATATTGTGAATGTGACCACTGATATTATGCGTACAATCCCAAAGATGTGACAATATGATGTATATTGTCCAACATTCCCATTGCTTAGTAGCTTCTTGCTGTTTTGCAACAGCATTATCACAGTACCTTATTTGTTCCAGTTGCAGATGGTGACAGATGGCATGGTGGACTTGTTAGTATTATCAAATATATGACATATTTATATTTGATTAACAGAGAAGAAAAAATATGGGAGGAGGGGTGAGCCAGAATATAGTCAATGGACAAAAGAGTGTAAGTTTCTCGGTTAGCTATCGCATTTTTAAAAATTCTGAATTTTCTTCTCCCTCAAAAAAGAGTAAAAACATAGATTTATGTTGTATTCCCATATTCATGGTAGGATACAACACATATCTACAATTCCTTAAACCAGAGTTTTCTTCTTTCTGAAATTATCTGCACTTTAAGAAATTGAAGATAGTCGTGTGTCTGAGTTCTATGAAGTTCTATTTATTTTTGAATCTGACATGTTCCATAGGCCTTCTCTGTATGACCAAGATCCAACTCTGAAATGCTCATGCTCTTTATTTAAAGAAATACAAAAAGGACAGTGCAATTTGGCAGCTTCTTTTGCATGAAAACCTCCATTTTAAGAATGCAATAATGCCTATACACCATTTAGATTATGTTTATTGATAGGACTATTTAATTACCTCCTTCTAGTATCTTAATAGCACTATATTTTATAATTGCTGTCAATTTCAGTGAATGCTGGAAGTAAATATTTTAGAGTTCCAAAGAATGGCAGATTTCCAGTGTTCCTTTTGTGATATCTGATCACTGCATTTTGTTGTAGTTGGAAAAAAGTGTACTTTGTCTCTTTCTGTGTAAGGCACATACAAACACATTTGTTAATTAGAAGCCTTTACAATAGGCCAAGAGATTTGTTTAAAAGAAGCTAGAAAATACATATCAATATCTTTATCTTAAATCATAGACTTCCAAACAGTCTATGCCTTATATGCCTGTAGTTTTTTCTCACATTTGCCTATCTTATTTGAGGAAAGTAAACTGCTATTTAAGTAAAAGTAAACATTTTTCAAGTCTAAGCTTTTATGATTAGGCTTAAAGTAGCACTTACTTAAGTTTGTACAATGTGTGTACACTCCCCTTTTTTCTCTATGGATTGAGTCATTGGTTTTATGTTTAAAAAGCTTCTCCTGCCAAATGTCTTCTGGCTTATTTGGTACACCTGTGCACAAGTATCTGTAACCTCCTTCAGCAGAAAATAAGAACAATGGAAGAATGTTGTTATATAATTGATAATAAGCTTTGCAGACTTAACAGGATTATATTTTTGGAAAGAAACCATCCTAAATGTTCAGCACAGAAAAGTTCTCCTAAAGAACAATTTCTATAGGGAAGATAATTAAAGAAATACCCACTTTTTTTCCTTTTTTTTCTTGCTGCTGGGCTTTTCTTGGGACTTTCCCAAATACTGACCTTTTGGTCACCTGGCTTTCCCAGAGGTTCCTTCACACTCCCAAGGAAAGAAGTGTGTGTAGAAGAACAGAAAGAATAAGATAGACAATGAATAGGATAGAATTCTTTATTGGCCAAGTGTGATTGGACACACAAGGAATTTGTCTTGGTGCAAATGCTCTCAGTGTACATAAAAAGATGCATTCGTCAAGAGTTATAAGGTACAACACTTAATAATAGTCATAGGGTAT